AGCATATATATATGCAATAGTAGTGTATATATAAGATCATATATATATAATAGTATATATACATAATAGTATACGTATGTAAATTCACTTTTATTTCATCTCATTTACATTATGGACTAGTCTTCTTGTGCATATTTAGATGTTGGAGTCCTGTGTAATTCATTTATTATTAATTCTAAACAACCTTTCAGAATCAAACTCAAGAAGAAAATGCTAAGAACAAGCACTGTTTCTGAGGCATAAACCTATCTTAAATTAGTGGTAATGTTTTGTCTTGATTTATATCCTTTGGTATCTCATCACATCAGACCTCGATGGTGGGATGACTATTGGATCCTGATGTCCAACTATGCAAGAACCTGGCAGCTTTATTAAAGCTTAAAAGGATTTAAATGTTTTAGGCAGCATTTACTTACAACATTTAGAAGTATGTGAATTAAAACAAGAAATAAAAGTATCCCGACATATTGACTCTAAGCTATGTTAATTTAGGGTCCAATTTGATGGTGGCATGTGCTGGCTCACAATATAATGAGTGGTGCAATAAGCAAATACGTGGATAACTCTTTTTCCATCCTGCACAAACGGCATCCTAACAGACTTCAGAGGAAACAGAAAAACCCCAAACAAGTCTCTCTCTGGAGGTCACCCCACTGCTGGAGTCTGTCTCCTTCCTTAGGGTGCTGAGGACTCGAGGAGGCTGGCCTCAGCACCACACCTAAGGAAGAAGAGCTTCTGGAGACACCCACAGCCCTGCTCCTCCTACTCGGAGTCGGCGGGCCCTGCAGGAGGCGCTGTCCCCACGCCTGGCCCCAGGAGGAGCACAGACAAGAGTCTGCAAAAATACACGTGGAGCTATTCAACCCCGATCACCCCTGAGGACTGGAAAGAGAGACACGAAACATTTTCATTTCTTTTTTCTAAAAAGCTTCCTACAAAAGTTCAAGATAACTAACAACTTATTTCCTCAAAACACATGAATCACAGCCCGAGCACATCCATATTGTGGGTGCTGGTCTAGGTCACTGTCAACCACGGCTGTTTAGCACACTGAAGTGGGCGGGCTCCCCTGCTTTCCCTTCAGAATTATTATTTTCTGCCACAGCCATGCTATTGTCAAAGCCTACTGCTCTCACGTGTAAGAGGAACAGACAAGACAGGGAAGCCGGGCCACAGCCCGCCTCTCAGCACACACTCCACTCCACACAGGCTCCAACAACACTGCGTCTCTGCTCACAGCTGAGAACAAAGGGAACTCAGCCCCTGCCCTCCGTCCTCAGGAAGCCTCCGCCGTTGTGAGGGATACCCAGAGGAGAGCACCGAAAGAGCGTGTGGCATGGGCAGTCCACGAGATGCACACAAGATGCCGACGGGCTCCCAAGTCACAGCATCTTCTCTAAAGTGACCCTCACCTAGACCAGCAGCTTCAGCCGTCACTCAGAGCTCAACGGGGTTAAACAACACGTTCCCAGCCTCCTTCCCAAATCCCTCCCACTCCAGGACCTCACACCCCACATCCGTGATGGCGTCTAGGGTTGCTGGGAGGCCTTTTACGGGTGACGACTGAGCCAGCTCGCCCTTGTTCATCGGCCAGGACTCACGTCACCTTCGCCCTGCTCCTCCAGGGCCACATGGGCCTCGCTGCTCTCAGCACAAATCTGTCCCTGTGCTCACACGTCCTATCTGGCATCAGACGGGGGCACCCCTGGGGACAGCAGGAACGCTTCTCTTTGACCTGCCAGGTCCTAGCACAGTACCTGACACACGACTAGTGTTGCAGTTAGAGTCGACAGAGGTTTGCTCTGGGTGAAGAGTCGGCACCATTTATATGGGGAATTCACTTCTGATGTACTTACACCATCTATCCAACTGCACCCTGAAGGCAGGAATATATTTATACTTATCTGTTTCCTCCCAAAGCTCACACAGCGTTTTGCACAACAGAAGCACTCAATATATGACCCATTGTGGTGACCACATTAAGTACAACAACAAAAGCAGTATTTCAAGTTTCATATAAAATGGGGACAATGTGTCACAAAAAATGGCAAGAATCTGTGCTAAAAAATAATTTTAAAGAGTTTAACATGAAGAACACTTTGACATCAAAATGAGAATCAAGATTGTATACAGAAGACATACATTTAAAAAAAATACACTTTTAAAAACAAAAAGGAAACAACTAATAATGCTGGTCCCAACACTTCTAATCACTAGTAAAACCTATCCAAAAACAAAAAATAAAAATGCAAACATGATGAGTGACAGACATCAGCAAGACGGCAGGGCAGGAAGCCTGGATCCTCTTCTCCCACAAACACACTGATTCAGCAACAATTCACATACAAATTCTCTTTGTGCAAAATCAGAAACTAATCGAAAGGCTCCTGCACCAAGGAGAGTGTGCAGCCAGACTCCCTGAAGCTGGTGGGGAGATCTGCAGCACTCTCTGGCCGAGTCTCTGCCCCAGTGCAGCACCATAGGATCTGGAACAGAACTCCCAGCTCCCAGCTCCACACAGAAGAGGGAGGCACTGGTTTACATGTCCAGCACCCCAACTTTCTGAGGGGCTCCCAGAGGACTGGCTTCTGTCTTGGCAGTCCTGGAGCTCTGACGGGTCAGACAGAGTCTAGCTGACCAAGGGAGAATGGAGGTAGTGGCTCGGGCTGGTGGACACCACAGCTCCTGCCCCCATCCCTGCTCAGCATACAGTGAGCAGAAAAAAGCCACAGCGGCCTGCTTTTCCCTGGGGATCCAAAAGTTGACAGAGACCTCCAGAATCTCTGGCTGGGTTGACTGGTGAGATCTTCTCCTGTGCGAGGTCAGTCGGTGAAGACTGGGAGGGGTGTCAGCTTTGTCTAATGCAGGGCACCAACACAGAGTCAAGGTAAATGAAGAATCAGGCAAAGACATTCCAAGAAAGGAACAAAATAAATCTCTAGAAATAGATCCTAATGAAATAAAATTACATGATTTACCCGATAGACAGTTAAAAATAACTGTCATAAAGATGCTCATTGAAGTCAAGAGTACAAAGCATGAACAAAGTGAGAATTTCAATAGAGAGACAAAAAAAGTGAAAAAAGTACCAAACGGAATTCAAGGAGCTGAAGAACACAATAACTGAACTGAAAAATTCACTACAAAGGGTCACCAAAGTGAGCTACAGATTCAATGCAATCCCTATCAAAATCCCTACAGCACTTTTTACAGAAATAGAAAAAACAATTCTAAAATTCATATGAAACCACAAAAGACCACAAATAGCCAAAGCAATCTCGAGAAAGAAGAACAAAGCTGGAGGCATCACTTCCTGATTTCAAACTGTATCACAAAGCTAGAGTAGTCAAAACAGTGTGATACTGACATAGAGAGACATATAGACCAATGGGACAGAACTGAGGGCCCAGAAACACACCCATGCACAACTGATCTTCAACAAGGGTGCGAAGAATACAGGGTAGGGAAAGGACAGTCTCTTCAATTAATGGTACTGGGAAAACTGGATGTCTACATACAAAGAATAAAACCGAACCCTTATCTTATACCACACACAAAAATCAACTCAGAATGGATTGAAGGCTTAAATGTAAGACCCAAAACTATAAAAAACCAAGAAGAAAACATAGGGAAAAAGCCTCATGGTATTGGATTTGGCAATGATTTCACAGATATGACACCAAGAACACAGGCAACAGAAATAAAAATAAACAACTGAGACAACATCAAACCAAAAAGCTTCTGCACAGGAAAGGAAACAATAGAATGAAAAGGCAACCTATAACACAGGAGAAAATATCTGCAGACCATCCATCTAACAAGAGACTATCTCCAACATACATGAAGAACAACAACTCAATAGTCAAAAAACAAACAATCTGATTAAAAAATGGGCTACGGACTTGAATAGACAGTTTTCTAAAGAAGACATACAAACAGCCAACAGATATATGAAAAGATGTTTACTGTCACTAGTCATTAGGGAAATGCAAGTCAAAAGCACAATGAGCTCTCACCTCACACCTGTCAGAATGCCTAGTACCAAAAAAACACAAGATGATAAGTGTTGGCGAGGATGGGGAGAAACTGGAATCCCTGCACACAGTTGGTGAGAACACAACAGTGCAGCCGCTATGGAAAAGAGTATGCAGGTTTTATTTTCTAACAACAGAACTACCATATGATCCAGTAATCCCATTTCTGGGTATTCATCCAAAAGAACTGACATCAGGATCTTGAAGAATTATTAGCACTCCCATGTTCACTGCAGCACTATTTACAACAGCTAAGATGTATAAACTACCTAAGTGTCCAGAGACAGCTGAATGGACAAAGAAAATGTGGTGTATACCAATCACGGAAAACTATTCAGCCCGAACAAAGGAGGAAATTCTTCAATATGCAACAACACATGAACCTTGGGGACGTTATGCCAGGTGAAATAAGTGTGGGACGGTGGTTGCCAGGGGCCAGAGGGAGAGGGAAACAGTGGGTTACTAATCACGGAGACAAGATGAACAAGTCCCAGAGCCTGCTGGACAATGTTATACCTACAGTTAGCAAGACTGTATTGCACACTCAAAAATATCTAAAGAGGGTAGGTCTCACGTTAAGCATAAAATAACATCACATGAAATACAGTTTTTAAAAGATTTGTATGTAGACATATATTACTTCAATTTTTAAAAAAAGCACTTGAAAAAAACGAAAAAATCACGTCACAAATACTATCTATTGGGTCTTAAGATCCACTGAGTCTTCTTTTGTTAGGGAGCTGGAAGCCTGAAAGGTTTGTTTAAAATTAATGAAACGGAATTCAACCAAAACGAGCTTATGACTGATTTTGTGTGCTATAATTTAGTGTGCTGATGATCGTACAGCACGGTCAACAATGAACCAGGAGCACAGGCATCTATGGTAAGGTGCTCGTCTCAGCTCTTCAGCTCCTGCGCAGAGTGCAGGAGCTGCAGACCGACCCTCATCTTACAGGAAACACTCACCTTCAAGAGCATCCAGGAAATGCAGGTGAAGGGGGTGCTCATCTCCAGGAGCAACGTGGTCATGGCTAGATAGTGGCCAGCTTCGAGATTGACCACTGAGCCAAGAAATCCAAGGAAGGCAAAGAGGTGGTGGACAACTAAGAACAAGTCGAAGGTCCGGAAGAACAAGTTGGACAGGTGAACGGCTACATTTTCAAAGAAGAAGAATCCAGTTGCCGTTGCCACGTGAAACCAGCACCAGTTCTGCTGGCCACGCGCTTTATCAGCTTGAAGTACAGGGTCCACCAGCAACGCCCACAGACCCGCAGTCGTGCTCTGAACACCAAAGACGGCGCGAGTGGCCGCCAGGTTCCAGAAGACCTTCTCTTTGGCCATCAGAGAGCGGTAGGTGGCGTTCAGGGAGGACGACAGCTGGTGGCAGACCACAAAGACGCCCAGGTAAAAGACAAAGCCTGCGACAGCCAGTGTTGAGCGAATCTTCCACGACGCGTAGTCCAGGTCAAAGATGCTCTCAGATGTCCCTCCATCACTCTCGAGATTCATGGTCCTAAATTTTCTATCAAATGCGTCCCGGGGCCAACACAGGGCACTGGGGCCCCACACTGCGTCTTGTCCAAGAAAATGAAGTCAGTGCAATGGTCTCTAGGATCCTCATGTATCCGTCTTCAATCTGAAGAAAGAAGAGGTAATTCACTTCACGTTGACTAAACAGAAGCTAGGACACAACATTACTCCGGTACCACAAAAACATAATAAAAAATATTTTAAAAAATTCTTTATCTTATTCTTATGCATGTTTGAAGATATATAAACTCAGCAGGAAAATATCCACTGGCAGTATGGGAGAACAAAAGAAAATAAAATTAAAGCTGGAGAGATCAGCCATGAACAGGAGGCAGGAACACTGCTAACAGGAACACACAGTCCTAGACTCTTCCTACAGATACGCCACAAACCAGGCTCCAGCCTTCACCAGGTCTGTTAGTCAGTCACACAATTCAGAGTCCACAGGATAAAACACACTGAGATAATTACACCAGAAGACACTTTGTTAAAGCATTTTACTTCTAGAGCCCCAGACAAGAACATTGCCCCAGCGCTACACAATCTCTGTGGCAAAGCTGTCTATGAACGTTACCACATTTCAACCACAGTCCACAGAACACAGACACGGGGCTGGGCACGCCTGAGTTCAAATCCCTGCTGTACCACGTCCTGGCTTCGGACTCCACTGAGGCTCAGCTCACACAGAAAGCACTGCTGTGGGACTAGAGGAGGCGATGGATGCAAAGGAACTAAAGCAATGTCTAGGTATTCATATGTTTTATATTACCATTATCACCACTTACTGCCATTCAGACGCCTTTACAAACAGTAGGAAAAAATCAGTCCTCAGTTCTAGTCTGTTAACTTGCAAACAGTGCAAGCTCTCTGTCCTCAGTGTCCCACCTGATTGACAGGATCCAGCGCACTGGATTAGACCTGAGAAGGGTGAGGCCATGCGTGCCCCGCCGTGCCCACCTTCAGACAAGGAGGACAGACCCCATGAGTCACTCAAGGGCTCGTTTGTCAGATGCACTGAGCTCCTTTCCCCCACCAGCTCCAAACAGCTCTCACTAGCCTATGGCAAGGCTCTGCCGAAGGAAACCCATTTCCCACCCTGGACTAGATCATCTTAACGGCACTCTCTAGCTCTCAGATTCAAGGTGGTAATTCTTCTAATTCTAACCATGAAAAAAATCCCCTAAACTAAGTACAGAAACGATGACTTAACCAAGGGTCATGGGTATAGTTTATCATTTATCAGTACCCTGTTTCAAAAATTCATTTCTCTTACTAATGGTGGTTGCCTACAGGCAGGGAAAATATTGTGAGCATATTTACCTATTCAAGAAATAAGTTCAATTAAAGTAAGTCAGTAACTTTTCTCTGCAACAATGTACAACGTTGTCATTCTTTCATTGCCCTTTTTACATTTCTGCTATTCACAACCAACCCATTTCTTATTCTAATTTAGGCTTGACAAAACTTGGAGGTCATGTAAAATAGGTTTCAAGTTTTATTTCCAATATACTTAAGAACTTCCCTTCCTGTCATGTGCTTGTTTCACACTAGTTAGCACTACAGAACGCAGTGGAGTTACCTCCACAAGAAGGTCATAAAATTTACCCGTGCTCCCAGTGTCCACGTGCATCCATGTTAAAGCCTGAACTCGAAGCCCCTTGGGATCCGACCCGTCCACCTCCTTAGGGTCAGCTCTCACCACCCCTCAGCTCACTCCATGCTGCAGCACAGCCTCCCGCACCTCTGGGCCTCTGTTCCCGTGGGCCCTCCACCTACAGGAGTCCTTCCTCACCCCGACCCACGCGTTAGCCCCTCTGACGCTTGGGTCCTGGATTCAACGTCACTCTCTCCAGAGATCCTCCCAGACCAGAGGATGTGCCACCAGCGAGGTCAGGTACGACTGCTACCTGCTCATACTGCACCCTGCTTTCTCCATCATAGTCTCTAAGAACACGCTCCAGCTGCTAATTAATCCTGACCTCCACTGGACCAGCAGCTCTCTGACAGGCAGCCGTCCATCCCCATCACCGTACCCCAACACTTGACGCAGGGCCTGGCGCAGAGGAGACGCTCAGGACACACTTCACAGAAGTGGTTGTTTGCTCTCTGTTTCTCAGTTAAATCTCCAGCTCTACACGGGCTAGCTCTGTGTGAACAGGAATCTGTCAGGCGAGACAAGAATTTCCCCCCGTTTCTACCTAGAATTCTCACAGCTCCTGTGGTTTCGCCCCCGCTGCGTGTTCTGCACACAGGAGTGCTCTGACCCGAGGAGCTGCTCTGACCATGACATGGACGGGTTCTCTGCGCGAGTCATGCCAAGACTCCAGTTTACTTACACATCTCAAAGCACACTGAAGAGTCAGTCTGCACACAGATCAAGTTTAACACGAGATTAGGGCTGGCAAGAGCACTTGCGTTGAGTAGCTATGAGTGCAGCTGTGTTCATTTTTTTCTGTGCATTATGATGTTCTGACATCTTAAAAAACTCTTCCTGGCTGGGAGAGCCTGCCCCTCCCAGCTGGCCAGTCCTCAGGGACAGCAGAGCAGGAGCGCACCTTCGATACGCCCACCAACCACCCAGAGCCAGGCCTCCTCCATCTGCCCTGCACCCGGGAGGCGAGATTCCTCTGCCTTCAACTAGGACCATGCCTTTTGCCCAAAGCCCAAGGAAATCATTCAAACCAGCCAGTCCTAAGTGTTTACTCCACCCTACCTGACTTTCCTGTGGAAACCCCAGGAAAGGCCATGGCCTAATTCTTCCCCTCCCTCCTGTCTTCTGTCTCCCAACGGCCCCCCCGCCCCACCTGGGTGCTTCCTCATGCGGCCCAGTGTGGTCCTGGCTCTGGGATAGTGAGCACAACAAACTGTTTTTTCCTGAGCCTCTCCTGTGTCTCCTCTTGCAGTCTACCTGACTGACTGTCTCATAAAAGAATCCAAAACAATCTAGCTCTGCAGCAAGTCACTTTCTAACCCCACAGGGTGGGGCAGTATGGAGTTTACAGGTACAGATCAACTAGTGAAGTTAACGCTGGGAAGGGAGACAGATCTTCAGTGCCGGGTAAAAAGGAAGCCTCACTATCAAGAACTTAATGATAACCCATCACAAGGGTTGCCCTGCACAAAACTGTAAACTCTGCTAAATACGAGCTCCTCCTAAAATTTCTTCCTGTATTCTTCGGCAAGTCAGTCATGAGATCCGGGTTACAGTTCCCATTTCCCACGATTGCATCACCATGCTCTCGGCCAAGCCACCCAACTTCTGAGGAACCTTTGCTTGAAATGGGAGGGTCCCCGTGACTCTGCAAAGCTCTGACTAAAGCAACGACTCAAGTTCACCCCCGTGGAAGTGGTTAGCGCAGGTGCTATCCCAGGAGGGTCCGGGTCGGGCTGTGAGGGCCTCCAGGGCACTAGGACCAAACAATCAAGAACAGTCAGGCTTAGTGGGTTCTGATCTTGGTTCAGCTATTGAGGAGTTAAGCAAAAGGAACTAGAGAAGCTGAAACTGTGGTCCAGTTCCTTAACCACATTGGACCCAGGGTCTGACTATGGGAATAAAAAATTCACGTCAATACAAGAGCGCAGCATATTCGTTACTAACATGAAGCATCTACCATGTGCCAGGCACATTCAACTAGGTCACTTAATCTTTCTAAATAGGTAATAGTATGTTTCCAATTTACATAAAAGAGCCCAGGCTGTTATTGGCTTCAAATCCGACTGGACCCTGATGGGGAGGACCTCAGACTTCTGGCCCTGGGACACATTAAATCCCCTGCAGAGCTTTGATGTTGTTTTTGTTTCATATCTATGGAGTACGCCCACACCTGGGCCCACCCCTAGAGAATCTGACTTCATTGCCCTGGAGTGGCGGCCAGGCTGGGGTATCTTTTAGGTGCCTAGGTGCCCTAGGGCAGATGCAAAACCATTGACCTGGCATGGTCTCCAGTCCTCTCCTGGTTGTCAAATCCTATGGCTCTGAGGTGGGATGGCTTAGTGTCTTCCTTCTTCCAAACCAGGCTAGTATTACTGAAAGACAGCATGGAAGGGTCTTCCTGCGTGCTTTAGGTGGTTTTAAATGTGAGCTAGATACATTATCCTGGAGAGAAACCCTGAAAATGCACCGCCATGAATCCCTCCTTCTCCTCCAACGTCCCTGCTCCCCATCAAGCAGCACAAGGAGAAGTGGGGTCCTGAGGGGTGGAGCGGAGGTCTGGGAGGGGAAGGCCTAAGTGTGCCTCCAGGGTTGAGCCGTGGATGGCCCGGATGAGGGAAAATGGAAAAGCGGAGGCTACAAGACCAGGAGCCACTCACCAGTTGGGAAGAGGCTAGAACACGGACCCCAGTTTCCGGCTCTGCATGTTTCTGAACCATGTGCCTGACAGCCTGACAGTGAGACGACTTGAGGGGAGGATGGGAGGCAAAGGTACAGCGATGAGGCGCAAGTAAAAAGGGCCCATGACGGTGGGCAAGGGATGGTGCAAGCACTCCAGGTGGGTAACAGGAAACTGGCTCCAAGGACCCAGACATCCAGAAAAAAACACTGTCCTTTCAAACCTGAGACTGGCTTCCAGGTCCTCAAGGCTTCTAGACAACCTTTCTGAAGAATAGCTAAAGTGTCATAGGTAAAGAAGGAACTGCAGACAGGCTAAGGTGGACACTGAAACAAAGAAACAGGAGACGCAGGGCTGAGTCTGGGCAAACTCTCTCAGCAGTCACAGGGCTGGTGTCAATTAGAGAAATGGAAGCAACTCACTATAAAAACCCAGTACCTGTTCCCCTTCAAATCCCATGACCACTCCCCCGCCTGATCCTTGCTCAAAACCTCTTCATTACACCTGTTCCCACAGGGCTACGTGCACAGCATTTCCGGGTACGCTGGGGCTGGGCCGGTCTAACCTGCCACCCTGGGTTTCTCGGGGTGTGGTTAGCACCAATCAGCATCCCCGCTCAGGAATGCATGAATGAGGTGAACCACCAGGAGGGAACAAGGCCAGGTCCTGGGTTGTGGGCATCTGCAGGGACCCAGTCCGGGCAGCCACGCAGCCTTCCCTGGAACCCCACAGAGGCAATGCTGCCGCTCTATGACGTCACAGCGTTACCTGAACCCACACCACACGGGAACGGCTACAGCGCTAAGGCTCACCCTTTGTGCCAGTCCACATCCCACAGCAGGACAGCCAGGCCCCGTT